GGCCCTGGACAGTCGGGGCGGAGGGAGCACAGTGTTTAACCTTCCCTGAATCCGTGCATAAAAGCAGACGCAGCAGTTAGAAAGCAAAGTCAAACACCCAGAGGCGACATTTACCATAAGTTTGGGTGAGAAAGTATCATCCAAGTTGTAAGCACTAGGGGATGAGCCACTGCCAGCAATAGGACCCGCGTGGTGCCGGCGACGTGGGGGTCACAGGCCTCTGACAGATGTGAGAACAGGAGGGCCTCGGTGGTGCCTACACGGCAAGACCAGGTAAGGACGAGCCTGAATTAGGCTGTGGCAGCGGGCAGAGGCCACCAACGGGGCCCACACTGCAGGGAAGCCCGAGAGCAGAAGAGCTGGGCAGAAAGGGAAAATGGAGATGGAAAAGAGAGAAAAGCTGAGGAGGGGAGAGGATCAGTGCCAGACAATCTGAGAGCAAAGCAGACATTTCTGTCTACCACACGCCTACACACACACACACACACTCAGCCAAGAGAGAGCACCATGAAGTCAAAAAGCTGCCCTGAACCATCCTCCTGAAAGACTAGGAAAACTAATTTCACATAAAAATGAGCAACAGAACAGCCCTGAGATCAAATCCCATACCATGCTATCCGAAGAAAAAAGATGCTATAAACAGAAGTCCCCCTTTGAAAATGAACGCATGCTGGGAAACACACCGACAGAACAGATCGAAAGTGCGACCTTCAGCCGAAACCATGGTTCACGCCTGTAATCCCAGCACTCTGGGAGCCTGAGGTGGGAGGGCTACGTGAGACCAGCAGTCTGAGACCAGCTCGGGCAACATAGTAGAACTCCGTCTCTCCAAAAAAAATTTAAAAATTAACCAGGCACAGTCTGCGTGCCTAAAGTCCCGGTGAGATGGGGGGCTGAGGTGAGAGGATCACCGAAACCCAGGAGCCTGAGGCTGCAGTCATGGCCACACCTCTGCACTTAAGCCTGAGCAATGGAGGGAGACCTCAACTCTAAAATCAAATGTTAAGCCAGGTGTGGTGGCTCACGTCTGTAATCCTAGCACTTTGGGAGGAAGCTGAGGTGGGAGGATCGCTTAAGCCCAAGAATTTGAGGCTGCAGTAAGCTATGATCACGCCACTCCACTCCAGCCTGGGCAAGAGAGCAAGACCCCGTCTCTAAATAAATTAAAAAAAAAAAAAATTTTTTTTTTAAGTGTGACCACTGACTTCAAAATAAAGGACATTAAGAAATGAAACAAAACATGAAACACCACAAATGAGAATTAGGAAAACTTAGTAATGAGGAAATCACACTCAAGAATTAGAAACAAAGGAAAATCATTCCGGAAATGACTTTACTAGAAGGCACATGAGGGAGATAAACTCAAAGGCAGCCACACACTGCATAACGTCTCCGCCAACGACAGGCCGCATAAGTGACAGCGGTCCAACAGGACTGCAAAAGTGCATTTTCACTGCACCTTTTCTATGCTTCAGTGTGTTTGGATACACAAATCCTCACCACTGTGTTATGGTTGCCTACCGTATTCAGTACGGTCACACGCTGTCCAGGTTTGTATCCTGGGAGCCATGGGCTGTGCCATACTGCTAGGTGTGCAATAGGCTATGCCACCCAGGTTTGCAAACATGCACCCTGTGACGTCGCACAAGGATGAGACTGCCTAACGATGCATTTCTCAGAACCTATCGCTGCCATTATGTGACACGTGACAGGTGATGACTTCAGAGAAGATAGTGAAAAAGGAAGATCATTTTTAAAAGAAAAAAGAAATGAAGTACAGATTAAAAGGACTGAGAGAAAGCAACGCACACTGCCGAAGACTTAACTCCACAGAAGACCCAGCTCCACAGGGGACCCAACTCTATAGGGGACCCAGCTCCACAGAAGACTCAACTCCACAGAGGACCCAACTGCACAGGGGACCCAACCACACAGAGGACCCAGCTCCACAGGGGAACCAGCTCCACAGGGGACCCAACTGCACAGGGGACCCAACTCTATAGGGGACCCAACTCCACAGGGGACCCAACCACACAGAGGACCCAGCTCCACAGGGGACCCAGCTCCACAGGGGACCCAGCTCCACAGGGCACCCAGCTCCACAGGGGACCCAACTGCACAGGGGACCCAGCTCCACAGGGGACCCAGCTCCACAGGGGAACCAGCTCCACAGGGGAACCAGCTCCACAGGGGAACCAGCTCCACAGAAGACCCAACTCCACAGAGGACCTAACTCCAATTAAATGGGTAACTGGAGTTTCCAGAGAGACCAAAACCAAATACAAGGAACAGAGCAAATGCTTAAAACTACAATTCAAGAACATTTTCCCTGAAATTAAAAAAAGATTAGAAAGTACTTACTGAAAACACTCCGCATCATGTGAGAACACTGACCACGGATGACCCACAACACCCAGGCACATTTTAGTAAAATTACTGGGCTTCAAAGCAAAAGAAAAAATGGCCTTTGTTTGGGTATTTAGGCAAAACAGTAAGCAACTTACAAGGCCAAGACGACTGGCTCATCATCACTCCGTCTGACAATAACAATCTACGCCAGAAGAAAGTGAGCGACACCCTTGAGACATTCCAAGGAACAAAAAGGAGGCTAGGATTCTGTACCCGTCACGCAAGGACTCGGGGAACACCGTCCCCAGCAGCACTTCCTGGGGATCCACCGGAGAACGAATTTCAAAACCTGTGAGCAGGGAGACGTCAGCGGAAGCCCTGGCGATAAGCAGGGGCTGCTGGGCAACACAGAGCGAGGACCACCCAGAACGACAGGGGAGGCCTGGCTGTGTGCCTGGAAAACAAAGCCATGGCCAAACTATTGTTTTAAATGGGGGGAGCGTGTATAACCCCCTTTCCTTTCCACGACTCACAGTAATTCCACCGGTGGAGACACATCACATCATCACTGAGCCTGTGGTGTGCGCCACGTGGGACTGGCTAACACGTCACCGCGGACGTTCTAACGCTACCTTCACCTGCGCCCTGGAGGGCCAGAACAGAAGAAGGGAAACACAGCTTAACACAGACAAGCTCAGGTAGGAAAAATAATCTGTAGTCCTGACTGTGGTTTAGAAGCTTCCAAATGAACCAAAATTTAAAAAATAAAAAAATAAAAAGCCTAGAAATGACGACTCTGAACAAGCACCAGCAGCGACTCCACCACAGCCTGAAACCAGTTTCCGCTAAAAGAAATCAGGGCTTCTTGGAGAAAAAGCGAGTCCAGGTCTGGGGCAGACGGCGACTGGACGAGCCCAGGACAGCCTGCAGTGCAGACAGGAAGGGAGCTGTCACCACCAGAGCACACCAACAGCACTCCACGAGTTCACGGGGACGTGAACGATAAACTGACCGTCGGTCGAAGGAAGCAGGGAACGCACTCGCCCCGGAGGTCATCCCGCCTTTCTGAGCAGCCTGTACCCAGGAGATGGAAAGACTTCCCTCTGTGATCATCCCAGCTCACAAACAAACGGCAGGACAGGCTCTCATCGCTTCGCAGCCCTGAGCAAGGCTGGGGGTCTCGGCACTGCTGGTATCCTCAGGTGCCGCGCATGGCAGGCTCCTGAGCCAAGATGCAGCAGGCACTGCTACTGTTACCCAAGAGGCAAAGCGAGAGCCCAACAGGCCCCACGCGCCTTGTACAGCAGGCACCGCAATTTAGTAACCACAGTGTGGGGCCAGACGCATCTCAGCACCTGGTATCTCTCACCAGCCCTCTGTGTCTCTCCCCCGTGCCTCTGCCCGTGTCCCCCTGGCGCCTCTGCTTCCGTCCCTCTGTCCCTCTGTCCCCCGTCTCTCTATCCCTCTGTCTGCCGTGCCTCTGTCCCTCTGCCCCCCGTGCCTCTGTCCCTCTGTCCCCCGTCTCTCTACCCCTCTGTCCCCTGTACCTCTGTCCTTCTGTTCCTTGTGCCTCTGTCCCTCTGTCCCCCGTCTCTCTATCCCTGTCCCCTGTACCTCTGTCCTTCTGTCCCCCGTACCTCTGTCCTTCTGTCCCCTGTGCCTCTGTCCCTCTGTCCCCATCTCTCTGTCCCTCTGTCCCCCGTGCCTCTGCCCCTCTGTCCCCCGTGCCTGTGCTCCCTGTCCTTCTGCCCGGTGTCTCTGACCCTGTGCCTGTTCATCTGTGCCACTGGCCTCTCAGGTGATCAGTGCACATCTCCCAGCACCCAACCCAGCTCCACCTCCACTTTCACTGCAGTCCCCGAATCCCTGCTGTAGGGTTAGGAGTGACAGACAGTTAAAGCGAATGCAGACTCCTCAAGTAAAAAAAAACATTTATTATTGTCCATGCAAATGGGCCATATTAATGATCCATAAAAATGGATTACAGTATTTTAAAATAAAACGCAAAAGTGGGCTCAATTGTTGGTGTGCAGGCTGGGGTCTACGTGGCACAGAGAGAACAATTATGAGCTGACACAGGACATTTACAAATTCGTTTACATTTTAGAATTTAAACATGTGAACCCAGAAGTGGAGAGACGCTATCGATGGAGATCTTCAGGCACGTGGTATCATAAACTCATCTACCTACGTACAGAGCAAAGTGTGGAGAAGGCAAGAAACCAAAGGGTGGTCATGTTACAGGTGGGCCAGCCACGGTGGCTCATGCCTGTCATCCCCACACACTCTGAAGTGGGAAGAATGCCTGAGCTCCGGAGTTCGAGACCAGCACAGGCAACAAGGCAAGACCTTGTCTTTATTAAAAATTTAAAAACAAAAATGAAAATAGACAGATGCAGTGGTGGACGCCTGGAGTCCCAGCTACTCAGGAGACTGAGGTGGGAGGATTGCTTGAGCCCAGGAGATTGAGGCTGCAGTGAGCTGTGACTGTACCACTGCACTCCAGCCTAGGTGACAGAATGAGACCCTATCTCAAAAAAACCAAACCAAAACCTAAAATCATTAGTTGGCTATACAGAAATCATGTTGTTCACGTCCACTGATAATCTTATTACGATCTGGCATTTTACATATTTGGATTTCATACTCACCTAAACCTTTCTGCCCTGGGTTCTTAGCGAAAGTGAAGGTAAACTGATAAAAATCTTTAAATTTGGCTGTGTCCTTCAGCTCCTGCTCCAGTCTTGGCAGAAGAGCCTTTAGCTTCTCCATGCTGTCACACCTGCAATGAGGGAGACAGTGGTTTGTGCTGCGGCAGACGCACCTCCCTAGTCGACTCTCCTCTTGTCCTCTGTGCGGGAACTGTGGCCAGGCACGCGGCTCCAGCTGGAGACCGTATTTCCCAACTTCTTTTCCCAGGCGCGGCCTAAGGCTCTAAATGATCATGTAAGAGAAGGGAAGGGGGGCCATGTCTCCCTTGCTAAAAGGAATTCAAAATGCTCTAAGACAGATACTGGTGGCGGCTGCCCAGCTCTGGGAATATACTAAAACCACTGAGTCGTAGACTTTAAATGAGAGAAAATACGGTATGTGAATTAGATCTCGATAAAATTATTAAAAGAAAAACCCAAAACAACATCTTTTGCCCTCTTCCTGAGAACTGGAACAAGGGCGTGGTCTAACTCGGTGGCTCTGACCATGGAGAGAGGCCCCTGCCCTGCGGTGACAGGTTATGAGGTGAGGAGATGGCAGGGACGAGGGAATGGAAAGACGGAAAGAGCCTATTTCTCAGTGACTTGCAGAATGGAGTCGCCCTGCCAGCCTGGGCCACTGCTACCTCTGTCCCACCATACAAGCGAAAAATAAACTCACATAAATCTTAAGCTACCTTATTTAGGGATCTCTTCATTATAGCAGGTTAGATTTAAAATATCCAGGTATTGTAAAACACAGCTCTATATTGTTTTAAAATTGATTTTTTCCATCAAAAAGTCAATAACCTTTAAAAACAGTCAACAGCCTTTAAGGCAGAAATCGACAACAGTAAAACAAAGTCTATCTTTCTAATTTCGACTGCACAGCAAAGCACAGAATAAAAGCAACACTTATCCACTTACCCAAGCAGAGCAGAGGTAAGGAAAGAACATTGGAGAAAGCTTTAGAGCAGCTAGAAAAGTCCATAAAGACGTACACAGAAAAGCACAGATGTAGAACTCAGTCCTGTGCATAGTCACAGTCCCGTTCTGGTCAACAGCAGGAGGTGGATGTGACAGTGGTCCCATAAAATCATAATGGCACCTAGATGTTCCTGCCACCTCGGGGCGTCAGAGCCACTGCAATGTCTAGCACAATGCATGACCATTTCTACCTTTAGGTGCGTTTAGATACACAGACTTACCACTGTGTTACGGCTGCCTACGGCACTGAGTACAGTCACCCACTGAACAGGCTCGTAGCCTAGGAACAACAGGCTGTACCACAGACTAGGTGTGTAGTGGGCTGTACCATCTCGGTTTGTGTAAGTACACTCTGTGATGTCTGCACAATGAAATTTCCTAACAACGCACTTCTCAGAACGTGTCCCTGTCTCTGAAGTGATACATGACTGCACTGCAGGTGAATGTGAGTGGAAGCACCATCCACATCAACGGTGGCAGCTGGGCCAGGTGCAGCAGTTCGTTCCTGTAATCCCAGCGCTTTGAGAGGAGGAGGAGGGAGGATCGCTTGAGGCCTGGAGTTTGAGACCAGTCTGGATGACATAGCTCAGAGACCCAGTCTCCACAAAAAGTAAAAACTAGCTAGGCATGGTGGCATGTGCCCGAAGTCCCAGCAACCCACCGTACCCCAGTTGGCACAACAGAGTGTGACGCTCTTGAAAAAGGGAGTGGGTGGCAGCTGAGGGCTCTTTGCCATTTCAGCCTCCTCTTCCCTCCAGCGAGGCACGGACAATCCGACTTCCGGGCCAGGCCCACTGTGCCCACCACCTACCGGAGCCGTCCTTCAGCGCGCCTCTAGCTGGACGTAAACAGGAACTCACAGTGTGCACCACCTCACATCTGGGTGCCTCTGGCTTTGTGACGTCCGAGGTTCGTTCCTGTGGGTATGCTCAGCTCCAGCTGTTCATTCTCTTTGCCACATAGAATTCTTGTTATATACATATTTTACGATTCATAAACGCTACTGTCGGTGAACATTCCGGCTGTTTCTAGTTTCCTGGTTTGGAGTAATGGTGTCAACACTTCTGTACACAGATCACAACATACACGTAGGCACATTCCAGCGTGGCCGGCGGGGTCACAGCGTCTGCGCACCTTCCATTTAGTAACTGACGTCGAACAGTACATTGGAGCTCCCACTCCACGCACTTTCACTCACATCTGCTGTCGTGTCTTGTTTTAGCCCCCAGAGGGTGGTTTGTTATGGGGTTCTATTTCACCGAGCTTTTCACCTGCATTTCCCCAGCGAATGAGATTAAGCATCTTATACTTTAACTGGCCCTTGTGCATCCTCTTTTGTAAAGTGCTTGTCAAATCTTTTGCTTGTTTTTCAACCTCTTTTTCTTATTGTTTTGTAGAAATTCTTTATATATTAAAGATACAAGCCTTTGCCAGGTATTTTTAAAGAACTTTCACACAGAACAAGCATTGCCTTTCTACTACTTTGATGTTTCTTAACCAGTTCTTATTTTTACTATAATATGCTGTCAGTATTTTTCTTTACAGTGATTGTTTTTGTTGATGTTTTAGAAATTATCCTATTTCACAGTCATAAAGACCTTTTCCTATATTATTTTTCTACAGACTTTTTGCTTTTGCCTTTCATACTGAGATCTACATCTATCTGAAACTGATGTTTACATATGGTATGCGGTAGAGGTCAGGATTTATTTCTCCCCAAAATACTAGCTAATTCTCCCAGTATCATTTGTTGAAAAAGTGTCTGTCTCCACTTAAGTCTACCTCTGTCGTAAACCAGAAGTCCCTACACACACGGACTTCTTTCTGAGCCCTCCATTCTGCTCCGCTGGTCTCTGGGCTATTTATCTGATCTGGCACTTGATGCCACGTAGTTGTCATTATCGTAGCTGTAAAGTTCTGATTATCTGGCAGAGCAAATCTTCCCATCCTGTTCTTTTCCTTCAAGAACTGCTTTTTGACTGCGCATTTTTATAGAAATTTCAAATCAGCTTGTCAAATTACACATGTATAAACCCACTATCTATTAGGATTTTCAAACTGAGATCACATTCAATATAAAAACCTAAGGATAAAATACTGTGTTCCAACCTATGAACGAAGTATATTTCTCCATTTATTCAGGTATTGTTTCCTGTCTCTCAATGAGTTATTATTTTCTCTATGGGAGTATCACACATCTTTAATCCGATTTATTCTAGGTATTCTGTATTTTTGAAGATATTGAAAAATGACATATATTTTAAAATTTACTGTTTTGCTGATTGTTGCACTTGGTGTCCTGAAATATAACAGGATTTTATTTGCAGACCTTGGACCCTGTAGTGTGGCTAACGTCACTACTGATTCGAATATTTTATCCATAGATTAGAATAGCTGTGATCTCCTGTTTTATACTGAATAGAAATAGTCATTCAGGTTTTGTTCCGTCTCAAAGGGGAGGTGGCTTACAATTCCCGTAAGTATAATGTTTGCCATAGGAATTTTTTCCTTTTGGTCAGATTAAGAACTGCCCCTCTTATTCTTAGTTTTCCATGAGTTTTGTTTTTTTTTTAAAATGAAGAAACACTGAATTTGATCAAACCCATCTTATGCACTGGGACGATCCTTTTTTTCTGTTGTTAACCATGGTAAATTAATTATACCGATTGACTTTGTAACATTAAACCGATCTTGCATTCCTGGGTATAACCAACTTTGTCATGATGTATCATCCTGGGCTTATTGTCTTGGATTTTTTGCTAATGACTGGTCAGTTTCCTGATACTGTGTGTAGGATTTTTGCATCTTATCACCTTAGGCATCTTCTGATTCTTATAACTGAGAGTGGCCTATAATTTTCCATTCTCAAATGTTATCCCTTGGTTTTGTCATGCAGCTTGTGCTGGCCTTAAAACAAATTGTGAAATCTTTCTTCCTTTACTATTCTCTGGAAAAGGATGTTTAAAATTGGGGATTTTCCTTTTCATTAGGAGTTTGGTTGGATGTGCCAATTAAGTTATCCCAAACAGAAGCTGTCTCTTTGAGACGATTTTAAATTACAGGCTCAAATTCTTAAGAGTTACAGAACTATTAAGATTTTCCATTTCTTCATGTCAGTTTTAGTAAGTTATATTTTTCATATAGGTTGTCAAATTTATTGGCATAAAGCTTTTCATAACAGACTTTTTTTTTTAATGCTTCTGGCACCTATCATTTTGTCCCTCTTTTCATCTATGTATGTTACTTATGATTTACTACATTTACAAGTCTTTTCAAATAACAAGCTTCTGGCTTTATTGATCCTTCCTAATGACAACTTCTTTTCTATTTGATTATTCTTGTAAATTAAAATACTTTACTTTTCTAATTTACTTGTAAATTAGAAGTAAATTTTCTAATTCACTTGTAAATTAGAATACTGCTTCAAAAATATTAATTCCTTCCTTCTATATTCTTTTTCTATTTCTTGAGATGGAAGGCTTTGTTCACTGATTTTCAGCCTTTCCTTCTTTCTAAAACATGCATTTAATAAGCTGAATTCTACAAGCTTACATATATTTTCACTATCCAAGATATTTTCTAATTTCCATTGTAACTTCTTTCTCATCCCAAGGGTTACTCAGAGGTATGCAATATCCACACATATCCTACCTAGTTATCTTTTTGTTACATTCCTAGTTTAACTATACTGTGCTCAGAAGACATACTCTGTATCATTTCAAACCTCTGAAAATTGTTGCAATTTACTTAATAGCCCAGTTTATTGTCAATTTTTATTAATGTTCTGTGCCTTTAATAAAGTTTTTTTTTTTTTAAATTTTAAACACCAGGAGAGAACACGAACATAATCCCCCACTACCACAAATTATGCAGTCCAGTTTCCCACATTTGGGAAAATCACAGGCGTCAGCACATCTGGAATGCAATGGATAAGCCCAGCCCCGGGAAAACCACCTTCATGATCATGGTATCTCTCCCGCCAGGCTGTTTTGTGTTTTCTTTTGAAAAGAAAACGTATTCTTCAACATCGAAGGCAACGTTCTAAATGTTCTCCTAGGCCATTTTTTGTGCTGTCCAAATCTTCTATTTCCTCACTAATTTTTCATCCACTCATCCTATCAGTTACTACAATGTGTGTGAAAACTCCTCACTTTGATCATGGATTTGCATCTTTCTCTTTGTAGTTGCTTATTTTTGCTTTAAATACTTTGGGACTCTTCAATAAATACATAAAAACATAAGTATGACTGCTTTCCAGGTGAGATAAACCCTTTATCATCATGAAATGGTCCTCCTTATCTGCAGAGTTCCTGTGTGCCTCAAAGCTGTTTTAGTTGTATCTATTTTAAACAATATGAACAGGTGATATTTAAACATCCATCTGGGCCAGGCATGGTGGCTCCCGCCTGTAATCCTAGCACTTTGGGAGGCTGAGGCAAGGTGGATCGCCTGAAGTCGGGAGTTCAAGACCAGCCAGGCCAATACGGTGAAACCCCGTCTCTACTAAAAATCAAAAATTAGCTGGGTGTGGTGGCAGGCGCCTGCAATCCCAGCTACTCAGGAGACGGAGGCAAGAGAATTGCTTGAACCCAAGAGATGGAGTTTGCTGTGAGCTGAGATCGTGCCACTGCACTCCAGCCTAGGTGACAGAATGAGACTCCATCTCAAAAAACAAACAAACAATTAAGAGTACACTCGAAAATAACAATAAAAAGTAGAGTAAATGCATAAACTGGCAACATAATCATTTATATTATCAAGTATCATATACTGCACATAACTGGATGTGCTACGCTTTTATACGAATGGCAGAGCAGCAGGTTTGTCTGTGCCAGCACCACCACACACAGGCAATGTATTGAGCTATGACATTATGATGGCTGGGATGCAGGAATTTTTTAGCCCCATTCTAACCTTACGGGACCACTGTTGTATAAGCGGTCCACTGTTGACCGAAATGTCACTATGCAGTGCATGACTGTCGTTCAATAAGCTTAATGATTAAGAGAGTCACATTAGGCCCTTTCATTTACTTTTATAACTTATCTGTAAGTGAGAAACACCTTATTAATGAAGCCTTTATCCTAATCCTGTAGGTAGAATAGAAAAATGTTACAAGCAAAAAACCAAAATGACATCTTAATTTTTAACATAGCAGCATAATAAATTCTACATTTAATATACAGTATTATGAAATAACATGAATGAACTGAACCTGGTATTTACTGTCAATTCAAAATTGGAAAGAAAAAAACTCAAAAAGAAGAAAATGAGTTACAAAAGGGGTTAATATGAAAAAATCAAAATGTGAAATGAAACAAAGCTTTAAACTGAAAATTAAAAGGAAACCAGGCCGGGCGCGGTGGCTCAAGCCTGTAATCCCAGCACTTTGGGAGGCCGAGACGGGCGGATCACGAGGTCAGGAGATCGAGACCATCCTGGCTAACATGGTGAAACCCCGTCTCTACTAAAACAAATACAAAAAAACTAGCCGGGCGAGATGGCGGGCGCCTATAGTCCCAGCTACTCAGGAGGCTGAGGCAGGAGAATGGCGTAAACCCAGGAGGTGGAGCTTGCAGTGAGCTGAGATCCGGCCACTGTACTCCAGCCTGGGCGACAGAGCGAGACTCCGTCTCAAAAAAAAAAAAAAAAAAAGGAAACCAAAGGCTTAATAGTGCAGAGAGTGCAGATGCATAAGAAATTTTTAAGACACACAAAGAAAATAAACATATGAAATTAATATGTAGAGGTTGCTGAAAAATAATTAATGTTAAAAGTATTTTCATTTCTGAAAAAATTTAAGCTACGAATAATTGACTTACCCGAGTTCTGTCATGCCATCTAGAAATTCCTTTCTGCTAAATTCACACTGAGTTGCTGCCCTGAACTTCCACGCTATGACCAACACACTGATACTGGCAGGATCTAGGCTCAGATCATCACAAAACTGTTGAATCCCATCGATTCCAATTTTGTTTTCATCTTGTGGATCTGTAGTTAATATCAGGGGTAAAGGAAGTTATACTATTTTGAAAAGGAATTCTAAAATAGGAGGTTTGAATCCTAGCATTCTATTATACGACATAGTTCTAGCAAGCGTGTTTCCAATACATCAATCAATAGGCTGCAGTTTTCTACTACACATGAAAGAAATAGTGAGCAACTAATAATTTATCCAGAAAACGGTCCTATTTTTAAAATCTAGGTTTCTGGGTCTTAGGGAAAAAAAAATCATTGAATTTTTTTTGAGAAGATCTGTTCACTAAGAAAAATTTAATTTCCCTAAAGTGAAATAAAAATTCAAGTTTAGAGAAATTTAGCTCACCCAAAGGCAAAATGCTATAAAAGATACTGTATTGATAAAGTATTTACAATACCTTGGGTTTTTATCACAACTCTGCCAAAGTAAATGAATGATTGATATTTTTCTTAAGTGATTTCATTTGCTAGTTCTAATGGTACTGGACAATAACTATTTTTCAGAATCATTTAGCTTATGTATCCACATTTAATAGCTTAGAAATTCAGGTTCCCCACTCCCTATTCCTAGTTTATAAATAAAATTAAAGAACTTAGCATTTGTTTATCAGAAAATCAAACAGTAAAATATATTTAAGGCATCCCAGCAAGACTTCACTAAAGCTAGTAATTTCAGACAGATTATATCATATTGTCATAATGCATATGTAAATTGTGGGTTTAGAAGGTAAAAATAGAAAACCTGTAGCTTCTTTGCTCAAAGAAAGATTAGGTAGGATAAACTTTTCTTCCCCTTCACACAAAATCTAACTCTGGTCATTTAAGTAGTTTACTACTACATATATATAGTTAACAAAGAAAAATGGTAACAAAAATGAAGAAAACCATAAACATCCTTCTAACTCTATTCTCATATCAGGGAGAAAACCTCAGCATAGTTTATGGGACAGAGGTTCTGTAAAAAAAGTAAATCCCCACTTATCACCTTATTCAATTCCATCTGCTAATATTATACTTCATGAATAGAAATACTGATCTACAATGCTCTGACCTCATAAACCATCTCAGTAAATTTGATTACAACCATATTCAATATTTCAAGTAATTTTGCAAATACTTGTTCATTTGTATATGCTAACGTAATAACCAATGTTATATTTGTCAACAGTCTTAGAACTATGTTTATTTTTAGAGCCTAAAGTGATTGTACCATGTTTCCACTTTAACTGACTATAACTGCATGAATAAAGTTAAATAATAATGAAGGGATGAAGCTTCAATAACACTTAAAGACACAATTTTCCACTTATACACAAGTATTTTTTCAAAAGCAGCTGTATATATTTAAATAACTTTAACAAATCTGCCTAAAAAGCTTATGATTTACAAAATTAGCTCAACAACTAACTTAGCCAAAAATGTTTGAAGTAGACTAATGCTTAACTAAAAACAATTTTCATTCTTTGGGAAGTACAATAAGTACAAATCTGGTTTGTTTTACCACTGACTACGTTTCTGAGCCAAGATTTTTAAAAGCAATTTTCAACTCACTTTTCAGATCTAAACAGAAAGACTAAAGCACACACACAGTATTTTAAAAAGTAAAAAATGAAAATATTAAATAAACAAGAACTAGGCCGGGTGCGGTGGCTCACGCCTGTAATCCCAGCACTTTGGGAGGCCAAGGCAGGTGGATCACGAGGTCAAGAGATCGAGACCATCCTGGCCAACATGGTGAAACCCCGTCTCTACTGAAAATACAAAAATTAGCTGGGCGTGGTGGCGGGCGCCTGTAGTCCCAGCTACTCGGGAGGCTGAGGCAGGAGAATCGTTTGAATGTGGGAGGCAGAGGATGCAGAGAGCCGAGATCATACCACTGCACTCCAGCCTGGCGACAGAGCGAGACGCCGTCTCAGACACACACACACACACACACACACACACACACACACACACACACACCAATAAACAAACAAACAGGAACTTAAAGCCAAGGAAATTATTGTATATTTGGGCTAATACTTGTTTAAATGAGAGTCAGGGCTTGGTTTTGTTTTAAAGTTTTAGAAAACTTGGCCTTAAAAACTGGTAGAAAGAAAAAGCAAAATAAGTCAGCTCTTAGATGGCTGCCTCCCCCTCTGCACTGAAGATGAAATTTAAAACCCGCAGAGGGGCGTGGATCTGCATATGCTCATCATGGCAGTCTTAGTGCAAGGCACAGCTGCATTTTGACGAGAAAAGCTCCCATCCAAGCACTGATGTCAATAAAAATCACAACTGCTCACAATCTGAAACACAAGGTTTCTTTGCTGAGAGCTTTTCCCAAAGCCTCTCGAACCACTGAAGCTACTTCAGTGCTAACACGCCACTGCCCGGGCAAGGAAAACACTAAGGTTTACCCTCACTTCAGGATCGTCTTCACGATTTGGTGTTGTTCTTAACCTTCTCATCATCAATATTTCAGCCTAAACAGAAGTGCTTGAAAAAAATACTGTATTAACAGACATATTCACGCCAAGACACCAAGCCTCCCAGCAGCAGCTGTTCCCTGACAGGCTGTGCAGTGTCAGATTCACCACACAGAACAAGCAGGCACAGGCCTGGTCCTGCTCCATCGCCGACTCCCCTCTTCTTGCCCTCCCCACCCCCACCAATCACAGTCCCAGCCCCATTGAAACGGAAGAAAGTGGATTCTGCAGCTGAACGTGGGGAGGAGAAGCAACAGCAGCCCGGAGATCTGCCCCTGGCACCAGAAAGAACCCTGGAAGTGCAGCGTGCAGGCCGCTCACGGAGGCCGACATCCGTCCAGCTTTGCTGCCCTCACCTCTTACCTTTGTACCTGCCGTACAGCTGCTCCAGCTTCTTCTTGTCCACAGTGTTCCGCATGGACTCCCTGTGGAACGAGTCTGGGTTTTGGAAGAAGCTGTCCGTGGCCTCGTCTAGTCTCCACTCATTCTGCGTTAAGCAGTAGATAGCAGTTCTCTCGCCAGCCTGAGTGCATGCCATAAACTGGCGGACCTTGTCCTTCTGAGACGATTTAAGCTTATGCTTTGGGATGCAAAAGAAGTAGGAAAGCCAATGAAGCCGCTCGGGGTTCGTCCCAGCTCTAGCCTAACGCCTGCACTTTAACTGGGCAGAATTAGAGACAAAGCCTTGCTCGTCATCAGTTAAAAAGACTGCACGGTCTTCCGAAACAACAGTACCTACACTGTAACAAACAGGCAGTCCGAGCTTCAGAAACTATGAGAATTAACATCTTATACAAAACACATTCTGATCGCCACCCAGTTCACCCTGCATGAAGCGTGACTCATTTTTCTAAAGCTCTCAGGAACTCTGTAACGCACACCTAGCCTCTGAGGACACCGGGCAAGGACCTCACGGCGTCACCGGGGCCCCAGCCACAGGGTCTTCTTTGGTTTCAATAAACTTCAGGCTTTAATGAACGGAAAGAGGCTGTGCAGTTTGCAGACATTTTTTCCCAGTTTAAATCAGCAGAATCACATTGATGAAAATGTACACAAATAACTAAGCATCGTGTTAAAAGTAATTTATGAAAGTTTCACAAGCAGGCACAAAAAAAGCCTGTTATGATTAAATGGAAACAATAATACTAATAACAAGAATGCCTCTGTATACCAGACAGAAATAAAATGAAAAATAGGACAGAGGATCTGGGCAGGCAATAAATAACAACGCTGCCAAGCAGCTGCACTATATATAGTACATAATGAAACAAAGTAACATCTTGACACTTCCAGATATAGGAGGGCTGAGATTCCACTTATCTAAAGTAACTGGATGATGGAATCCCAGCACTTTGGGAGGCTGAGGCGGACCACTTGAGGTCAGGAGTTCAAGACCATCGTGGCCAACATGAAGAAACCCCATCGCTACTAAAAATACAAAAATTAGCTGGGCGTTGTGGCGGGCGCCTATAGTCCCAGCTACTTGGGAGGCTGAGGCAGGAGAATCACTTGAACCTGGGAGGTGGAGACTGCAGTGAGCTGAGATCACGCCACTGCACTCCAGCCTGGGCGACAGAGCAAGACTCCATCTCAATCAACCAATCAATAAAGAAACCTGATGAAAGCAACACTGGAAAAAAAAGTGATTCACTAACTTCTCTAAATCCAAACAGACCCTAGAATCCACTGGATGCTAATGTTTTACAAAAATGCTTTACACAATAATATAAGGGGGAAATTTTTTACTCAAAAGGATTTATACTCAATCTTGTTCAAATAAAGATGAGACAACTTATAAAAACACATGGAATGAATTACAACATAACGAAAGTGTACAGAAGGATAACAAGGTATGGTTGAGAAAGGGGTGCCGTTAGTGCAAGGATGTGCCTGTCACATGTTAAGAGCTGGAAATCAGGCTCCAAGCTTCCCCAGTGCCACAGTAAAGAAAACATAATTAGTTAGGAAAATTCATTTTCATAAGATCTAAAACCTTACCAGCAGCTCAGAAGTGGTATAGACCCTTCTGGCCTAAAACCTGAGGGAAACGTCTCCTGGGCTCCTGGCAAAGTTCCATGTCCCCTCACACATACCAATTCCTCACCAAAATGCCAACCATGTACAGCAGAGCCAGTTTCCAGAAGGTTTTTTTTTTTTTTTTTTGAGACAGGAAATCAAAAAGCATGCTGATGCCAAAATACCAGAGGACGATTCCGCAGGAGCATTAAGATAACACTGTCCAGATACATACTCTCCCACATGCATCTGCGACCGCGCTGGGTCCTAAGGCCTTTCAGGAGGTCCACAGAACCACCTTCCTGAGCGTCCTAAGCCGCCACCGGCCTTGCTCACTCTCATTCTCACAGAGTGCATAGCAGAGGCCTCCACGGGCCGCAAGGCTTGTGATATCACAGGAATGAATGTGAGATTCGAGAGCCTATCTTTTATCAAGCTAGACATTAAAATATTTGCAAAAATGTAATAGGTTTATTATTGCTAATTAGATATAGAAATATTTTAATACTTCCTATTTTAATTTCTAATATGGTAAATATTGATGACTATTACCCACACAAACAAGAGCTCTCATTTAAGAATGGGGTTCTAATCATTCTTAAAAATATATAGGAAATGTGGTACATATATACCACGGCATACTACATAGCCATAAAAAGGACCAAGATTATGTCCTTTGCAGCAACATGGATGGAGCTAGAGGCCATTTTCCTAAGTGAACTGGCGCAGGAACAGATAACCAAATGCCACATGTTCTCACTTGTAAGTGGGAGTTGAACACAGAGCACGTGTGGACACAAAGAAGGAACAACAGACACCGGGGCCTGCTTGAGAGTGGCAGGAGGGAGACGATCCCAGAACTGCCCACCAGGTACCGTGCTCATTACCAGGCTGACGAGATCATCTGTACGCCAACTCCCATGACACACAGCTGACCTCTGTAACAAACCTGCGCACGCACCCCGAACCTAAAAGAAAAAACAAACCCGAAAACCACACAACTCCTGAGACTAAACCCTGAGAGAACTGCTAACTCAGGTGAGGCTACAGAATTAACATTTCGGCTACTCAGAACAATGAGTGTTGAGCATTTGGGAGTCTTGAATCCCTTTTGGAATCTGAGGAGTCACAGGTCTGCCCTCCAGGAACACATATATGGACCTCACATGTGCAGGCAGCTTTGCATAAAATTTCAGGGGTTTCACAGATGGCTTAAGCCCATCTGCTAAGTCCTCATAAGGTAGGGGAAGGCAGAACTCAGATGAAGAACTGATGAAGATCAGAAGCCTCACTCAGCCAACTTTCTCTCTTAATGTTCCAGTCAGCAGTCGGCTCTGCCATCTCAGGCCTGTGGGTCTGTTGCAAAAGCAGACAGCCGTAGGCTGTGTTCCAATAAAACTCAATTTACAAAAACAGACAGCTAGCCTGTGGGCTGTAGTTTGCTGAACCCGATCTAGATTCTAGAGGAATAAATGGAATACATATTCACTACATTATTTTCTGAAACTGAGCTTTTGAATAGAACTAAACGAAAAATTCAAGGTTGTATTATCTGGTAAGATCAAATTTAACTAAATTAAGGCAGATCCCATACTCTCTGACAGTAAGCTGACAAAAGATACAGCTAGAGTCTTTTTATGAAGTTGACAGCCTTCCCAAGGGAGGGTGAGCAAAGCCAAGAATTACCCCAAAAACCTTAAGATAAAGGCAGAAGTACAACCCCCAAAATGGTCCACCACTAGGAACAGCCATGACATCCTTATTATGGAAGTGGCCATCATTGCTAGATTTAAAAATTCTGCCATGGTTATACAACAAAATTTAGTATATCCATATAACGGAACATAATTCGGCCATAAAAAGGAATGAAGTATTGATACATGCCACATGGAAGAACCTCAAAAGTACGACACTGAGTAAAAGCCAGGCACAAGAAGCCACACGGGGTACGATTCCACTTATACGAAATATCCAGAACGGGCAAATGTCTACAGAGAGAAAGGTGAGTGGTAGCCAGGGGCTGGGGCAAGGGAGGAGTTGGGAGTGACCGCTAATGGGTACACAGTTATTGTTCAGGATGACAAAAATGTTTTAGGACTAGATAGAGGTGGTGGTTCCACAAATTCGTGGACGTACTAAACACCACTGAATTGTACATTTTAAAATAGTTAATTTTATGTTATGTGAATTTCACCTAAAAAAATTCAACATCGTACCCTTAGACCCTCCAAGACTAATCAGCCAAACAATATACTCTTCGGTGACTGAACTATTTAACCAGCATTATACAACTGATGACTCCACATCAGGAAATCTGGAATGTGGAAATTTGGAAGACATGATGGTGTCTGATCTTGAGGTCCTGCCGGTCACCCCTTGAAGCCTCCCCTAATATGTGACAACACCGTTACACTAGCAGCCTAATTTCTTAGAACTCTAGAAGAACAGATGCAGGAGCACATGGATCCAGGCCATTCAAAGTGGTTTTGAATCACTACTATTAGCTACAGAGTGGACAGAAGTTGGTATCGAGAAACACGAAGATTCCCCTGCAATCTACTCAAACTGCCTGATGTCACAAGATACTCCAGCAAACCCTGAACCACACGGTGGTGCCAAGGCACTGGTTCTGAATGAGCAAGAGAAGCTCTGGGGTCTAGGCTTAGCCCATCAACAGGCCTCTGGCCAGTCAACAAAGCTGCAATCATTTGATGTCACCCCTTACAGGTTCCTCCATAAAATAACAGTGATTAAAGCAAAGATCGATAGCCAAGTCTAAAGACTACGTGCTTCATGTCCAAAAGTGACTAAGAGACCCAAGTTGCCTCTTGTGAAAAAGGGAACTGGCATAAAGCTTCTTAGGAAACAAAAAGGCTCGTCAACTAAAAAACTACAGGGGAGAGCAGGAAGCCCTGAGTCTCTCTAGACAGGACTGAACCCAGGTCAAACTAACAAAGGCCCAGATGCTGGCAGGAAGCTTTGAGTGCACCCAGACAGGACTGAACTCAGGTCAATCTAATCAAGGTCGACACACTGGAACTAGGACAGCCCTTCAAGTGCACAACCTTTGCTGAGGCTTACCATGTCATGCAAGTTAAATTATTAAGGCCAACTTTTAAAGTGTGTACATAGGGCGGGGGGGGGGGGGGCATTTTCTAGGTTTCACTATTTTATTCTGTTAAAATGTACACAATTCTTGAAATAAAAATCTGGACAATCCAGTGGAAACAGCAAATAAAATCTCTAAACTATGAAAAAGTCTCAAACACTTTAATTGTGACCTTGTGAAAAACGACTCATATAATCTGGCACCAAGGATACCCATATGTAAAAGGGAAAGAAATTACTCTTAAAATGTCCTTAGGGTCGACTTACAAGGGGCTGGCAGGCCAATCATGTTGATCAAATAAACTACATAAGCTTATGGATCACTTTGACTCTGTTTTGGTATACAGCACGCTAGAGGGCGGGGGAGTTAAATTCATCCCTGCTCTTGGATCTCCAATCTCGGCAGCAGGGGAACGCTCCTCTCCCGCATCCTGAACATGGTCGTTTTCCCCAAGCTAAGTTCCTGTCCACTCTGCCCCTTTCATCCTAAAAGCTGGAGCGAGCTATCTCCACCTGCCCAGGCGTGCATCCTAACTCATGCTACCTCGCTCCAGCCCGGCCTCCGCAGTGACCCCTAAGGGTCACAAAAGCCCGGCTGCTGCAGTCAGTGGGACCTTTTCAGCTGCTCTTTGGTCAGCACTGCTGATGGCTCCTTCCTCCTTTAAACTCCATCCTCTTGGTTTCCACACATTCTAGTCTCCTGGTTTCTCCTACTCGCCCTTCTCCGTCTCCTTTGTGGCTCTTCTCCCATCCTGAAGTTTGTCCTCACCCTCCACTCCCCTCTACACGTTACCGTGTCCCTTCGCCGGTGGCTCTCTGGGCCTTAGCCAGGACAATCTTTCTGCTCCTATATGTCACCATCGCCCACCACTAAGGGTCCGTGCATTCTGTTTCTTCTGCCTGGGGCTGCATAAGGCTGGCTGCCCCTGGCACCTCACTTTTCCTCTGGCTAATTTCCAGAGAAATTCTCGAGTTCAACTCACACCCTCAGCATTTGACACCACTCCCACACCCGCATCCTACAGGTTCCTGGAACCCGTGCCTTAGCCCTTGTCCCAACTGTGGTTAAACAGTTGTGCATCTGGTGCCTGTCTCCCCTGCTGGGGCATCAGCTCCCTCAACGCCAAAATCACGCCCGGCCCAGCACCAGTCACCCCCAGCAGCACCCTGCTGGCCTCTGAATGGATGTGGACTGAATAAATCCCATCCATCACCATGGTTTCCACCACATTTCAAACTGATGTGCACCTCCAGCAGCCTCACTCCTGGGCTGCAGAACTCTACCAGCTCCACAGACGCACAGCTAGGGCCACGCTACAGCCCCCTCCAGGCCCCGCTGGAGCCCCGCTGCGCCTCCCCTTCCCCTCCCAGCGGCAGGGCCTCCCCCGCGAATCTGCGCTTCTGGTGCATTCCTTCCTTGCGCTGTTTTGGTCAACAGCCTCAGGATCTGCACAGACGCCCGCAGGAGCAGCCGAGCCCTCGCCTGCCTCGACTGCCCGTTTCGGAGCCGCCCTGGGAAGCCCGCGGCCTGGGTTCCCGCTCGGGCCCGACCCCTGCCCCGCGGCACCTGCCCTCCGCTCACTCCCCGTCGTCCCTCGCGGCTCCGGGTCAAACCCGCGCTCTCCGCGGTCCCGCGCCTCCGACGCCGCCGCTCCCGCTCGCGGGCCCCGGCGCGCTCCTCCCTCGGATCCGCCCGGAACGCCCCGCGCAGCTCGCTGGGCTCGGCCTCCCTAGTCCAGCGCACCGACCTTGGCGCCCGACCCCGACCCCGACCGGCAGAGGCGACGCCGGCCCACCTACCATCTCCCCAGCGCCGCCGGCGTCTCGCCGGCCCCGGCCTTCTGCGCAGGCGCGGCGGCCGCTCCGCCCTCGTCCTCGGACCGCCGCGGCCCTGGGCTACGGGGCACTGGCGGGAGCCGGCCGCGGGGACTCCCATTCCCGGCATGCTCAGCGCCGCCCGGGGGTCGACGGGAGCTCGCGTCCCGTCGCCCCTGCGCGTCCCGGCCTTTACGAGGGCCTTGGCTCGCCCCTGCGGAGTCCGACGCCGCCCTGCAGCTCCCAGGCCCCGCGCCGGCCGGCAGGTTCTCTTGGAAGGAAGTGGGCGGTGGGTCGGTGCACGGAACTCCACCTCCCGACGTGCCCTGCGCCGCCCACGGCTGACGGGACCCGCCCCCGCCCCGCCTCTTAAAGGGGGCCGTAAGTGCGGCTGGGCCGGAGTCCCGGGCGGCGGTGCTGTACGAGGGCGGTGCTGGGCAGGGCGGCGGCCGCTCCCTCCCGGCCCTGGTCCCGCCTGGGAAGGGATGCAGGGAAGCCCTTGGGCGCTGCGCTCCGAGGCAGGAGACGGCGTCCCCCTCCGCCCCTCGACTCCTGGCGCCTCAGAGCCCGGCCCAGGCCGCGGAACGGTGATGCTCGGGCCGGACGGGCGGGCGCGGCCTCCTGCGTCCCGGTGAGCGCCAGGCCCGTCCATCCGGGGCTCTTTCCCGGGGGTCCCCTTCCTTCCCTCCCTCCCTGGGGCTCCCCTCCCCTCTCTCCCTCCCCGGAGCCCCCTTCCCTTCCTCCCTTCCCAGTGGTCCCTTTCCTTCCTTCCTTCCTTCCTTCCTTCCTTCCTTCCTTCCCTCCCTCCCTCCCTCCCTCCCTCCCTCCCTCCCTCCTTCCTTCCCTCCTTCCTTCCTTCCTTCCTTCCTTCCTTCCTTCCTTCCCTCCTTCCCTCCCTGGGGCTCCCCTTCCCTTCCTCCCTTCCCAGTGGTCCCTTTCCTTCCTTCCTTCCTTCCCTCCCTGGGGCTCCCCTCCCCTCTCTCCTTCCCCGGGGCTCCCCTTCCCTTCCTCCCTTCCCAGTGGTCTCTTTCCTTCCTTCCTTCCTTCCCTCCCTGGGGCTCCCCTCCCCTCTCTCCCTCCCCTCTCCCTCCCCGGGGCTCCCCTTCCCTTCCTTCCCAGTGGTCCCCTTCCTTCCTTCCTTCCCTCCCCGGGACTCCCTTCCCCTCTCTCTTTCCTCGGGGCTCCCCTTCCTTCCCTCCCTTTCCGGGGCTCCCCTTCTCTTGCAAGTGCTGTCTCCCGGGTTCGGGTGGTCTCTGTGGCCTGGGGTCCCGCTCCTCCAGGCCTTGCCCAGGCGCTCTTCGCCGAGGCCCACGTTCTAACCTGGAATGGGACCTGCGTTCCCATCCTGGCCGCGCGGGTGGACTCGGGGCCTCCAGGGCCGGCGGCGGAGATGCAGCCCTGTCCCTGGCGCCCCTCCTGTGGCTCCTAACGGCTCCTGGTGTTGTCCATGAGGCGGGGTGTGGACGCCTGCGCAGGGAAACAAGATCGCTACGCATCGGGTCCTTATTCACTGCCTGTTTTTCTGATTGTTCTGTCTTCCAAATTTATCTTATTTACCGGTTTTTCCAAAAGGAGTGTCTTAATGTTTGGAGTACTTAGTGAAATATTTGTGGCTTTTTTTCCTACAGGCTAGACTTAAATATTCTGAAGCTTTTTTGTTGTTGTTGAAACAGAGTTTTGCTGTCGCCCAGGCTGGAGTGCAGGGGCTGGTCCAAGGCTCAAGCGATTCTCCCGCCTCAGCCTCCCCAGGAGCTGGGGCCACAGAGGGCACCACGCCCGACTAATTATTTCATTTTTAATAGAGACGGGGTCTTGCTATGTTACCCAGGCTGGTCTCTAACTCCTGGCCTCAAGCATTCGCCCACCTCAGCCTCCCAGAGCGCTGGGAATACAGATAATTGTGGCATAATACAGCAGTGGCATGAACCACCGCACCCGGCCTTAGGTAGAATTTGAACACCTTTTCATTTTGAGATGGTTGTAGATTCATATGAAGTTGTAAGGAGTAATACAGAGAAATCCTGCAGAGTGCCTTTATCCTGTTTTCTCCAATGGTAGCACCGTGCAAAACCATAGTATACGCAGGAAATTTTCTTTGATCAAATCCCCTGACCTGTTGAGATCACACCACCTATACACGCACTAGTGAGTGGGAATCTACGCTTGTGTGTCTTCTCAATAAAATTGAGATTTTTTTTCACTTAGCCTTGAGATACATCCGCATTGTTATGTGTATCAATAGCTCAAGATACAGAAATTCTAAGAATTCATTATTAAAAAAGTAATCCCAGCACTTTGGGAGGCTTAGGCGGGTGGATCACCTGAGGTCAGGAGTTTGAGACCAGCCTGGCCAACATGGCGAAACACCATCTCTATTAAAAATACAAAAATTAGCTGCGTGTGGTGGCGGGCACTTGTAATTCTAGCTACTCGGGAGGCTGAGGCAGGAGAATCGCTTGCACCCGGGAGGCAAAGGTTGCAGTGAGCCAAGATCATGACACTGCACTTGAGCCTGAGTGGCAAGAGCAAAACTCTGTCTCAGACAACAACAATAAAAAACACATTACAGGAATCCAAAGTGTCTTTTTAATAATTAGAACAGCTAAAGATGTTTACTAATTTACTCAAAAAACATGCTACAATTTAGTAGTCCATAGGATTTTGGAGGCAAGTTTGAAGGTAAAATGAGATGAGTTTGAATAAAGGGTGATTTGTATTTTAAGGATCCATAAATAATTTGTTTCATGTTATGAGTAAGTTTCAGTGGGATATTTTAGTATAACTACAACTAAAATCCTCAAAGATTTCTCATAAAAATTAATAGGTCCCTTAGAGGGACAACTGATTTTAGGAACCTGATTGAGGAAGGAACCAGAAATGAACATAGAGGTGTCATTCACACATGAGCTGTGTGGAAACTTATTTTTCTGAAGCATAAAATCCGTCAAAGAATCACTTTTTGGGATTTTTTTGGGGAACTGGGAAGTATGAGCTAAGCATCTCAAATTTCTGTCTTGGTTCTGGAAAATACTAAAAGTGCACTTCTGAAGTAGCTGTTGATTTCTTTAGCTCCCTTGGACCAACCGAGAGAAGCTTAGCAATTGAGTGAGTCATTAAAATAACAGCTCAGCTATATGGCTAGGCGTGACTAAATGATTGCCTCATTGTTTGTTTTTAAGGTGGTAAATGTGTGCTTAAGTTGTACACGTGTACTTAAAGTTGTATTGAAACTAACATAAAATTGAGTGATTGGAACAGCACATTATCATTTATTCTACCATGTAGGAAGTTACCTGTTCTAGGTAAGCGAATTATCCGTGGAGTGTGCTTCACCTTTTGGGAGTCAGTCTCCAAGAATGTTTTAAAATTGAACACTTTCTAGCCAGAATATAGTCTTTTCTTGGTGACTTTTGCTTGTGATTCTGATCAGTGACGCCTGTCGTGGCCCTCACTGAGTGGTCTGGCCTCCAGGCTTTTTGAGTTCTCCTGTTTGTTTTGCATCAGGTTTGTCTCTTTCTGCCATTTCGTGGTTTGGGCAGAATGCTGCCTCCGGAAATGCCTGGTCCTTACTTTTGCTGCAGCTAACCTGCCTTGCCTGGGAAACTGGATTAAACCAATTAGAATTTGGGTTAGCAGTGGAAAGTATAGATATATAGATACACCTTTTAGTAACCAGGTTTCCAGGTCGGGGAATCTTTGGAATATGTGATGGTTGAGTAGGAATTCCTGACTAACATTCCATTGGATGCTGCTATGAAGAATGGTTAGGTTAATATTTTGTTGTTGTTTGCTTTAAACCGTAAATCTGCGTAAGTGGTAGGTGTTGGTTTTATTGCCTTTTTTGGCTCCTTGTGACTGGTGAGCTCCTAGAGGCCAAATTCCACTGACTAGTTTATTACTCCTTCCTTCCACAGTCTCAGTTTCCCGCCTCTAAGCTCATTCTGCCTTAGTGACCTTTGCTGGCTGCTGTCTCCACCTGCTTTCTAAATAGTGCTCCTGTCTGGGCACCCTGCCCTGCCCCTGCTCATCACCACCCGGACGCCACGGCTGCAGCCACGCTGAAACCGTCCGCATTCCCCAAGCAGTAATGTTCAGAAAGCAGGTTTCTGTCTGTGCTATTCCTTGCCAGAATGAATTAATATATATTGTTTTAGGTCTTCCTAAAGAAAGAAAGAGAAGGAGACTGAATTGGGATGATAACAGAAAGTTCTAGAGATCCAGGTATTGTGACATACATATATATATTTATTTATTTAATTCTTGACATCTTGGTAGCACTTGACTGTAGACTGACTTTGGAAATGTGGCAAAATTTCAAATGATTTTAGGAAGCCTACAGAGCTAACATTAGCTCAGAAGATTTCGTTTCTGGAGTGATGTTGAGCGTGATGTCCCCAGGCAGCCCTCTGACCTGTGAGGGGAAGTTGATGGTATTGATAACATGCTGTCTCTCTTTTTTTTTTTTTTTTTTTTTTTTTTTTTTGAGCTGGAGTTTTGCTCTTGTTACCCAAGCTGGAGTACAATGGTGTGATCTGGGCTTACTGCAACCTCTGCCTGCCGGGTTCCAGCGATTCTCTTACCTCAGCCTCCTGAGTAGCTGGGATTACAGGCGTGTGCCACCAGGCCCGTATTTTTAGTAGAAACGGAGTTTCACCATGTTAACCAGGCTGGTCTCAAACTCCTGACCTCAGGTGATCTGCCTGCCTTGGCTTCCCAAAGTGCTGGGATTACAGGCATAAGCCACCATGCCTGGCCAACATGGACTCTCTTAAATAGACTTGTTTTCTGTCTTTTGGACTTGGTAGAGTTTGTAGAGATACGAGGCTGTGTTCTCAAAAAAAAAAAAATTACCTTTAATCCTTTCTGTAAAGATGTAACTGACCTTTAATCATCTCAGCCCTTCACAAGGCACCATACAAGGTGCATCAGCATTCAGTATTTGATTTTAATCTCAGTGCGATAGTTTAGATGTTGATATTTATCTAGGAAAAATGGTATTTTCTTCAGAAAGGTATCAGTTTTCCGGATCTGATTATTTAATATTTCGATCACTAGTAATGAATCATTGTTTATATGTGACAATAACTCTTTTTCAGCTGAAATGTGTATCTGAAATGCAAGCTCACCGGGGCAGAGACCTGTGGATTGCCGTACGCTGCCCTCCGACCCCGGATCATGAAGGTGTTGGGAAGAAGCTTCTTCTGGGTGCTGTTTCCGGTCCTTCCCTGGGCAGTGCAGCCTGTGGAGCACGAGGAGGTGGCGCAGCGTGTGATCAAACTGCACCGCGGGCGAGGGGCGACCGCCACTCAGAGCCGCCAGTGGGTCCGGGACAGCTGCAGGAAGCTCTCAGGGCTTCTCCGCCAGAAGAATGCAGTTCTGAACAAACTGAAAAATGCAATTGGAGCAGTGGAGAAAGACGTGGGCCTGTCAGATGAAGAGAAACTGTTTCAGGTGCACACATTTGAAATTTTCCAGAAAGAGTTGAATGAAAGTGAAAATTCCGTGTTCCAAGCCATCTATGGACTGCAGAGAGCCCTGCAGGGGGATTACAAAGATGTGGTGAACATGAAGGAGAGCAGCCGGCAGCGCCTGGAGGCCCTGAGAGAGGCTGCAATAAAGGTCAGTCCTAGAGAGGGAGAGGGAGGGAGGGAGAGAGAGAGAGAGGTGAAGAGAGAGGGAGAGTGCATGCCCACATCCGCATCCTAGAGAGAACCCACCTAGAGCTGTGGGAGCAGATGGGAAGGGAAGGTGTGAGTGCGGCTGATGCCTCTCAGGTGTTGTCTTTCATAGGAAATCACATCTAGAAAAGTCTCTCATGTGAGGGAGAATCTTTTCTTTTGCATAATACTGTAGTTCTTACTTCTAGGAGCCACTCTCATACTTTTCTCTATGGAGAAATCCCCTGGTAATTCAAAAAGTTACTCAAGTTGTCCTAGTAAACTGATGTAGAAATAAATATAACTTAAATCAGCATTTTGATGAGTTTCTGACAGGAGTTCCTTTTAGTGTGAAGTTTGACTTTTCTTCAGTGTCATACATCGAAGATAAAAATATTAAAATTAGTTTTAAACTAATGTATGCATTTAAAATTAAGGACTTTGACCAAGGGTGCTTTTAAAATGATGAGAATTTTCTGAACTTATTGCATCAGATGTTGTATTATCTATTTACATTTTTTAAAGCCATCATTTCTTGAGTACCTCTTCTATGGCAAGCATCATGCCGAGCCCTTTCTTTTTTTTTTTTTTCCGAGACGGAGTCTCGCTTGTCGCCCAGGCTGGAGTGCAGTGGCCGGATCTCAGCTCACTGCAAGCTCCGCCTCCCGGGTTTACGCCATTCTCCCGCCTCAGCCTCCCAGGCCCTTTCAATGTGTAAAGTATTGTGTCATCTTCATAGAAAAACCTGTGGTATTATTACACAGCATCAACATGAGAGAAAATACAGACATTAAACTTTTTTTACCAAAATATATTTTGGAGGAGAGAAATATCATCAGGCAAATGGATAAATCAAGGTTTTCAATAATACTGATTCATTCGTCCTCCCTGTGTGATATGTGCATGAGCTGCTGTGACCCTGTGTACAGTGGAGACATGAAGATCCATTGGTAGGGTCCAGATGTGTGGTGGTTTTATTGTAGAGAAAAAACATGAGTTTGAGTAAGATTGGCTACCAATATGCACAGTTCATAACACATCAACAGTATTTTAACATACACTAGTTATTATTTCCTGTGCCGAGATTCTCCAGGTGCTGGTAAACCAGCTATACTAGCCCTCCAGTCACGTGCTCGACCTGCAGCTGTGTGATAGACCTGCAGCTACGTATCAGATCTGCAGTTGTATGTCAGTCAAACCTGCAGCTCTGTGATAGGCCCCCGGCTGTGTGCTACACCTATAGCTGTGTGTCAGGTCTGCTAGACCTGCAGCTGTGCATCAAACCTGCAGCTGTGTGAGACCTGCAGCTCTGTGAGACCAGCTGTGTGCAAGACCTACAGCTGTGTGTGAGACCTGCAGCTGAGTGAGACCAGCTGTGTGAGACCTGCAGCTCTGTGAGACCTGCAGCTCTGTGAGACCAGCTGTGTGCGAGACCTGTAGCTGTGTGTGAGACCTGCAGCTGAGTGAGACCAGCTGTGTGTGAGACCAGCTGTGTGTTAGACCTGCAGCTGTGTGAGACCAGCTGTGTGTTAGACCTGCAGCTGTGTGAGACCAGCTGTGTGTTAGGCATGCAGCGGTGTGAGACCTGCAGCTGTGTGAGACCAGCAGCTGTGTGAGACCAGCTGTGTGCCAGACCTGCAGCTGTTTGAGACCTGCACCTGTGTGAGACCTCAGCTGTCCAAGACCTACAGCTGTGTGTTACACTTGCAGCTGTGGGACACCCGCAGCTATGTGTGAGACCTGCTGTGTGAGACCTCAGCTGTGTGAGACCTGCAGCTGTGTGTGAGACCTCAGCTGTGTGAGACCTGCAGCTGTGTGAGACCTGCAGCTGTGTGAGACCTAGCTGTGTGAGACCCGCAGCTGTGTGAGACCTAGCTGTGTGAGACCCGCAGCTGTGTGAGACGTCAGCTGTGTGAGACCTCAGCTGTGTGAGACGTCAGCTGTGTGAGACCTGCAGCTATGTGTGAGACCTGCAGCTGTGTGAGACCTCAGCTGTGTGAGACCTGCAGCTCTTTGTCAGTGGCATCAGATGATGTCTCGTGACTACTTGGTAATTGAGGCAGTGATGTTCTTCTAGACTCTGGTCCTCTCTGCTCTGGCCTATGTCCCACCCCTTTAGCTAAGAATAAATGTTTAAAAGTAAGGTTATTGATAAAATATAGTTGTGTAAAATACATTACTAAATTCTATTGTCAGCATCACCCATCAGTTCTTCAAATGATTAATGCTGTTGGTTTCTACATGTGTTTTGGAACAGTTTTCCCTTGTAACTTGAATTTGACTGTGCATTGAATTTAGGTGGTAGTTCCACATTCAGGTCTCACATCTGGTTTTAAAGTACTGCTGCACTCACACACGATAGGCCTGGAGCACAGTCACTATTGAGTCAATGAGTTTAGTGTGGATAGATGACCTACAGATACTACATTTACTTTTGTGTAACAAATGTTTCTTACATGTATTCATGTACATACACAAAAAACTTTCCCTAAACATTTGGTTAAGCTCAGTTGTGTTTGAATAACTAGGACACGTGACTTCCCTAGCTGACCAGAGTTAAGTTATTGACGTATGAACAGGGACATTTGACAAAGAAAGCAGGAGGACTGATTAAGAAAGTCATGTCATAGCTTATTTCTTAATATAGCTCACTCTTCTTTTCTTGCAAATGATTAGGAAGAAACAGAATATATGGAACTTCTAGCAGCAGAAAAACATCAAGTTGAAGCCCTTAAAAATATGCAACATCAAAACCAAAGTTTATCCATGCTCGACGAGATTCTTGAAGATGTAAGAAAGGCAGCAGATCGTCTGGAGGAAGAGATAGAGGAACACGCTTTCGACGACAACAAATCAGTAAGCGTTCCCGAACAGCTGCTGCTTCACCCCTGAGCCGCTCGCTGATCGGAAGACGTGTTGTTGAAATTGTTCACATGTATGTTTTTAGTGTAGATTGAAAATGAAGACAAACTAAGACGCTTCTCAGTCATAGAGAAAATAATTTGGTCTTGTAGAAGTCAGCTAATTATCCTTTACTTTAACACCGACAGTCAGTTCCGCTCCTCAGCAGCTTGTCTGCATTTTCCAGAGGCCAGATGGATTGGGACACTGGGCCTCTGGTCTCAGGACAGCCTGGACAGTGGGTTTTAATGCTGATCTACTGGGACGTTAGCAGAAACGGGTCCCAATCCAGACCCCAGGAGAGAGTTCTTGGATCAGGGCGAGTCCATAGAGTAAAGTGAAAGCAAGTTTATTAAGAAAGTAAAGAAACAAAAAAAAAGGCAACTCCATAGGCAGAGCAGCCCTGAGGGCTATTTTTATGATTATTTATTGATTACATGCTAAGCCAGGAGTTGGTTATTCATGAATTTTCTGGGAAAGGGGTGGCATTTCCTAGAATGGAGGGTTCCTCCTGTTTTAGACCACATAGGGTAACTTCCAGATGTTGCCATGGCATTTGGAAGCTGTCATGGCGCTGGTGGGAGTGTCATTTCACATGCTAATAGATTCTAATTATGTACAGTGAGCAGTGAGGACAACCAGAGGCCACTTTCATTGCCTTCTTGGTTTTGGTGGGTTTTGGCCGGCTTCTTTACTGCATCCTGTTTTGTCAGCAGAGTCTTTGTGGCCTGTATCTTGTGATACCAATCTTGCCAACCTCCTGTCTCATCCTGTGACTAAGAATGCCTGTCCCTGAAATGCAGCCCAGTAGGTTTCATCCTCATTTCGCGCTGCTTGTGTTCAAGATGGAGTTGCTTTGGTTTGAACACCTGTAACGGGAACAGTGAACTTCTTACAGAAAATGATCTTCATCTGTGAAGCAGGAATTCAGGCTGCTCTTTTGTTGTAGCATGTTTAAGATTCTAAGAAAAAAAGTGGGACTGATGGTGAAAATTGACTGTGGGTCTTGATGAGGACTCATGAAAGGGTTGGGTAATAAAAACAAATCAGAAAAAGATTAGAGAAGAAACCGGAGAGAATAAAAATAGAGTAGAAGAAACAAGGTGTTTTAAAAATCTACTAATTATGGAATTAGAGGAGAACTCATAAGTATTTTAAGGGCTATGAATTTCTTGAAAGAATGGTAAACTAGGCCGGGCGCGGTGGCTCAAGCCTGTAATCCCAGCACTTAGGGAGGCCGAGGCGGGCGGATCACAAGGTCAGGAGATCGAGACCATCCTGGCTAACATGGTGAAACCCCATCTCTACTAAAAAAAAATACAAAAAACTAGCCGGGTGAGGTGGCGGGTGCCTGTAGTCCCAGCTACTCGGGAGGCTGTGAGGCAGGAGAATGGCGTGAACCCGGGGGGGCGGAGTTTGCAGTGAGCCGAGATTGCGCCACTGCACTCCAGCCTGGGTGACAGAGCGAGACTCCGTCTCAAAAAAAAAAAAGAAAAAAAAAAAAAAAAGAATGGTAAACTAGATCTTGGAAAGTAGCAGAAATCCTAAACCTATCCATTCTTAAATTACTTCTTTAATTGAAAAGTCATAATTCACTGCTAATGAACATTGATTGATACATTTTTAACATTCTTCTGTGTAGCATTCATTCCCTAAAAATTGAAAGCATTTAATGGATTTTAATTGCATAATACTATTATTCTTGCAGGTCAAGGGGGTCAATTTTGAGGCAGTTCTGAGGGTGGAGGAAGAAGAGGCCAATTCTAAGCAAAATATAACAAAACGAGAAGTGGAGGACGACTTGGGCCTTAGCATGCTGATTGACTCCCAGAACAACCAGTATATTCTGACCAAGCCCAGAGACTCAACCATCCCCCGTGCGGATCACCACTTTATAAAGGTAGTGAGTCGTGGCGGGATGCCCACCTTTCCCCTACTTCCGGGTTCATGGTGTCAGTACGACCAAGCTTTGTCCTCCGAACATGATACTGAGGTGCACAGCCTTCCGTCTAGCAGATTTTACTAGAATTCCCTGCATTTTCTGTGATTTGAGGCATCTTCCCTTAATTTCTATTTTTTTTTTCTAAAGGAATAAGATACTTTAATATTTAAAATGAAAGTTAATTTTGTCTTGGGGAATTTGGAAGACTTTGAAATTAGGAGTTACTGTAATGGGATTAAAACTTTAGTCATCTAAAAACCGTTTTCACTAAAATTAAAAATCCTTAAAAGGCAGAGAGGTCTTGGCTAAGGAGTTGTATGTGGCTTCATGTAACCCTGGGGTACAGAGCATGAAAACCCATTCAGCAGTGCCTGGCCTTCCAGATGGAACTGGATTCAGACCTGTTTCCTCCCCGGAACTCGGTCTAGACAAAGGCTATGCAGGGAGGTACTTGAAGCTGAGAGCATCGTGGTTCGGGTGGTCACTCAGGAGGGAGTGGCTTGGCCATGACAGGTGCAGCCCCTCAGGGAAGCTTGGTACACTGTGTACACTGTCAGGTCTCCAGCAGAGACTGGAGGTTTGTACAGGAGCAGAAACCAAGCCAGAGAATCTAGGCTCAAAAATGGTGCTGTTTCAGGCGAGAGGAAGAGGACCAGCCAGAGAGAGAGGTGGACACGATGGAGTGGGTTCCGTGAGGACTGGGGCTGCCGAGTGATGCTGTCAGGGCCCTCCAAGAAGGGGCAGAGATCTCTGTAAGGCTATTCTTTCTCCCTTTGTAATGAATAGGCAATTTCTAGGGAGAGGTTTTGAGACTGTAAGTATCCTGCTCCTTGCTGACCTTCAGGGCTGCAGGCGCAGCAGTGCCAGCACCCACTAAAGATCCTGCCTGCACCCGTCATGGCGAAGCCATGTGAATTACAATTTGGACACCAGCACTGAGAGTCTCCCAGATTAGAAAACTCAGTGGAATTCTAGGACTCAGAATTCTTAGAACACTCTTAAGGGGCTTAAGCAAAACAAAAAGTTTGCTAGACAGTCAGCATCCATGTGCTCTGCATCCTCAGTTCAACCAACCATGGATGAAAATATTCAGAAAAAAGACTGAAGAATAACAAGACAATAAAAAATACAAACAAAATATGACAACAATTTCCATTGTGTAGGCATCATGAGTAATCTAGAGGTGCTTTAAAATATACAGGAGGATGTGCTGGGTTACATGCACATACCATTCCGTTTGGAATCAGAGACTTAGCATCTGAGGATCCTGGTACGGGGGCTGGGGAGGATCCTGGAACCACTGTCCCAAGGATGCTAAGGGGTGACTGTAATCTTTAGGCCATGAAAAATTCACTCCATCTATTCCCAGAATACACTCTTCATGTTTTCAGCTTCTCTGGAACCCTCAGCATGAGGAAAATCGGTGGTTTTGTCTTCGCCCTTCATTCCCATCAGATGAAATCAGGGAACTACGTCCTGTTCTGCGTCTCAGCCAGCCAGCCCTCTTCCTATCATGTTATCTTACACGTTTCTTATTTATTTGATTCTTCTTCAGGACATTGTTACCATAGGAATGCTGTCCTTGCCTTGTGGCTGGCTATGTACAGCCATAGGATTGCCTACAATGTTTGGTTATATTATTTGTGGTGTACTTCTAGGACCTTCAGGACTGAATAGTATTAAGGTAAGAACAAAATTTAGTTGTTTTGGTATCTGTTTAACAGAACATAAAAAGAGAATTCCTGAAGACTAAAAAGTGTTGAATGTGATTAATGAAGATACCAGCTTTGTATAAACCATTTCAAAGAAGATGTCCTTTCAGGTGTCATGGGAAGTCTCTGAACCCTCAGGAGGTCGCTGTGCCTGTTACTGAAGGGGCGGTGTTACTGGAGACAACGACCCTGCTCGTTTCTGTTAGTTTTAAGGAGTCCATTTCCAGTAACATGCTGGGCCAGGTTGTTCAGACCGCCCTTCATGTGCCGAATACAACCAAAGTGCTGCATTCACTGTATTTTTTTTTTTTTGAGACAGAGTCTCGCACTGTCACCCGGGCTGGAGTGCAATGATGCAATCTTGGCTCACTGCAACCTCCACCTCCCGGGTTCATGTGATTCTCCTGCCTCAGCCTCCTGAGTAGCTGGGATTACAGGTGCGCACCACCACACCTGGCTAATTTTTTGTATTTTTAGTAGAGACGGGGTTTCACTATGTCAGTCTTGAACTCCTGACCTCGTCATCTGCCCACCTCGGCCTCCCAGGGTGCTGAGATTACAGGTGTGAGCCCATTGACCATGCCCGGCCCACTAACTATCTTTAAGCATCTCACTCACAACACATGGGAAAGTCGATGAGCCCCAGTCGAGGCAGCGGGCAGTGGGGCTGTTTGCTAGGCCCCGTCACGCTGATGGCACTTCTGACAGGGAGGAAAGGTTCCTGAGCTTCCAACTGTCTCCCCGCAACACTCACAGTGCGAGCAGCGTGGAGAGCGGGTGCCAGAGTGGGTGCCGTGAGTCCCACCGTGGGGAGGCGTGTCAAGGGGTGGGAGGGGGAGAAGTGCAGCCTGCTCCCTCCAAGCGTTTTTCCCTCTGCTGCTGGTGGAGCCTGGGACCAGGCCCAGGAGCCCCAGGGCTTTCTCCAGACTGCAGGGCGGCAGGAGGGGTCTGAGGAGCTCCAGCCCCGGCTGGTGAAGAGGAGCACGCCCAGCACCCTGGGCTTGGGGAGCAGCTGGCTGGCAGGGGAGCTGCAAGCCCACATGTGGGGGCTCCCAGGACAGGGCTCGCTTTGGCAGAATGGCCTCTGGGAAGAACGGCTATTTCAATTTGGTTTTTGGAGTAGGTCTTTTTCACGTGATTCAAGTATGAAACACCAGAGGTGAAAAATCACTTCCTGCCCTTTGCAAATAAAAGCAAATACAAATTTCTTTCCTTCTTTTTCTTAATAGCAAAGGTGCTCATAAACCAAGAAATAAGTTGAAATAGCTGAGTAATATATACAACTGGATGCTGTAAAAATTATAATTCTTAATAAATCAGCTAAATCATGGAAAATAATGTAATTATAAATAGACCAAGATAAAAATCAGAGCACATACTAGCCAAAGGGAGAAGTGGTTAATGGAAGAAGTATACTGTGTGATTACTGTGTGTGTGTGTGTGTGTGTGTGTGTGTGTTTTGGATACTTCCACCAGGCATACTAGGACATGATTGTTTAGTTAAGTATACTTAATATGTTAAACCTGTAAAATTATACGGTTTGATTTTTTTGTGTGTTTTTCAGTCTATTGTGCAAGTGGAGACATTAGGAGAATTTGGGGTGTTTTTTACTCTTTTTCTTGTTGGCCTAGAATTTTCTCCAGAAAAACTAAGAAAGGTAAGGACCTCATCAACCCATTACTGCCTCTAAGGGACTTCACATCATGTGGTTTTGGTTCATATACTTTTAACATTTGTTGATGAATTCACTATCAAATTAAATGTTTTTAGAATAGAATATGGTATTTCAGTTTGATGTTATTTTTGAAACAAATTCAGAGAGATGAAGAACATCAGGTTTGAAAGCGTAGAAATTCAATGAAGAATTGGCATTAGGCTTCTCGTGCCTAACTTCAGGAGGGATCTGGAAAGTAACGTGTGTGGACTTTAACAGATGGTCCCTCCCAGAAGGTGGCAAGTCTGTTAGAGGGTCAGATGTCATAAAGGTTGCATATTCAGCGTGTTACCCTAGAAGAAACTTTGTAAATTGGAAGTGAGTTAATTAAAAAACACTTTGTTTTTCCACGGACACGCACAGAAGGGGAAAGTAGCTGATGAAAGGCTAGGGTGGGGAGAGAGAAAATGAACACTGTTGGTAACAAAAAAGAACCCTGTGAATTAAGATCAGATACCATTTTGCCTACAGTGCTAGCTGGAAAACTAATATCAACTTAGCAAAAGTTTTTAAGCGGATATGAGCTGTAATAGGCATTCTTGAACCAGATTCATGAGAATCACAGCTGTATACCCTTTTCGTTTTGTTGGTTTTTTTTCCATGAAAGACTTGGTCATTTTAAACAAAGTGACTTAATTTACAGTGTCTGGTTTGCCTAATCACTCAGCCCTCTCGTGTTGTATTTTTTTTTTAATTTTAATTTTTTTTACTTCAATAGGTTTTTTGGGAACAGGTGGTGTTTGGTTACATGAATAAGTTCTTTCGTGGTGATTTGTGAGATTTTGGTGCACCCATCACCAGAGCAGTGTACGGTGCACCCAATGTGTAGTCTTTTATCCCTCACCACCCCCCAGCCTTTCTCCCAATCCCCAAAGTCGAGTGTGTCATTCTTACGCGTTTGTGTCCTGGTAGCTTAGCTCCCGCTTAGGAGTGAGATCATAGGATGTTTGATTTTTCATTCCTGAGTTACTGCACTTAGAATAATGGTCTCCAGGCCGGGCGTGGTGGCTCAAGCCTGTAATCCCAGCACTTTGGGAGGCCGAGACGGGTGGATCACGAGGTCAGGAGATCGAGACCATCCTGGCTAACCCAGTGAAACCCCGTCTCTACTAAAAAATACAAAAAACTAGCCGGGCGAGGTGGCGGGCGCCTGTAGTCCCAGCTACTCGGGAGGCTGAGGCAGGAGAATGGCATGAACCCGGGAGGCGGAGCTTGCGGTGAGCTGAGATCCGGCCACTGCACTCCAGTCTGGGCGACAGAGCGAGACTCTGTCTCAAAAAAAAAAAAAAGAATAATGGTCTCCAGTTGCATCCAGGTTGCTGCAAATACCCCTATTTTGCTCCTTTTTATGGCTGAGTAGTATTCCATGGTATATATAATGCCACATTTTTTATTGGTGGGCATTTGGGCTGGTTCCATGTTTTTGCAATTGCAAATTGTGCTGCTCTAAACATGTGTATGCAAGTATCTTCTTCACATAATGACTTCTTTTCCCCTAGAAGTGGGATTGCTGGATCAAATGGTACATCTACTTTTAGTTCTCTGAGGAACCTCCACGCTGTTTGCGTTAGTGGTTGTACTAGTTTACATTCCCACCAGCAGAGCAGAAGTGTTCCCCTTTCACCACATCCCTGCCAACATCTCTTCATTTTTTGGTTATGGCCATTCTTGGAGGAGTAAGATGGTATCACATTGTAGTTTTGATTTGCATTTCCCTGATCATTAGTGATGTTCAGCATTTTTTATGTTTGTTGGCCATTTGTCTATCTTCTTTAGAGAATTGTCTATTCATGTTCTTAGCCCACTTTTGGATAGGATTGTTTCTTTTTTTTCTTGCTGACTTTTTTGAGTTCTTTGTCGATTCTGGATATTAGTCGTTTGTCGGATGTATAGATTGTGGAGATTTTCTCCAGCTCTTTGGATTTGGTAGCCACTGCAAAGTCGCAGGAGCATCAGCAGCAAAGCAAACTATCGGTTAGAATGCTAAACTTGAGGGAAAGCAGGAGCATGTAATGTGACCGCGGCGATGTAGAAGCAGCACCAGCACATGGGGGAAAGTGGGAAATAAACGACGACCGCGGCGATGTAAAAGCAGCACCAGCACATGGGGGAAAGTGGGAAATAAACGTGCCAGGTAACCATGGTGACTTCTGGTTTCTTCTCCATATTTTCCAAATTTTCTGTAATAAGCTGTCAATACTTTGTCATTATAAGGAAAAATAAACTTTTCTTTTAAAATCTTGTGTTTACTTTCAGAAGTTCACTCTGATCTCACTGGCATGTTTTTCTTTATACTCTCGTGCCATTTGCTTCCTCAGTTCATCCTCTTACCTAGAACTTTTTGTTTTCTTTACCCTTCTGTTTTTCCACTAAAAGCTCCATTTGTCCATCTTCTTATTGCTCTCCCTGTCCTGTGAACACTCCTGAAGACACACAGCCTCATAAGGCGTTCCGAATTAACTTTAGGGTGTTCTCCAGGTACTTGGCATCTTTTTATATTTCTTGTAAATTGTTAATTTCTAAGCTCAGTGATTAAAGAGAAGTCACCACTCTCCTGGGTCCCAAGGAAAAGCGGTGCCATCCTTGCCGTTAACCCTGTGGAGGGAGTGTTATGGGGGGAGGATGAGGGGGCGTGGGCCGCGTGGCTGCCCGGCCTGTGGAGGAGCCTGTTATGGGGGGTAAGGAGGTGTGGCTGTCCAGTGCCCTGTCTCACCAGCGTCCCACGAGTCTCCATAAAAACATGCCTCCGTTTCATGGTGCAGCATGGGCGTGTGTGTGTGTGCGTGTGTGTATCTGTGTGTGTGTAATTTAGAGACGTTTACAGGAAAGGGCAATTTAGGGCAGACCCTAGGGGAGGTGGGAGGGCGACATTCTGGCTATGCGGCAGAGCCTCAACAAGGTACTTACTGCCTGGACATGTGCTTCCTCTCCTATACAGTGAGGGATCTAGAAGACTCCGGTGTCTTCTGGCCCTGTGTTTTCATAGTTTGTATTTTTCTCCACTACAGTATTCACAGTTAATAAAAAATAATATTGTATAACGTAACGTTAAGATAATTGTAAGCAGCGTGAGAACGTGCTTCATCAGGGCTGCTGTCATCTCAGTGGCGCTTCCGAGGGTTTGCACCCGGTTCTGAAGTGCCTGCTTGGTGGTGTAGACTCGGGGGCTCGGCAGGAGCCTGGCGTTCCCTGTTAGGAAGTTGTGCTCAGCTGCCCTGCGTGGTGACAGTCAGATGATGGAAGGACACTGGTTTGGGACTCAGGAGACATCTATGAAACTCCTTGTTGACCCCGATTGAGTGGCACTGGGCAGGGTTCCTTCTGTGTCTGGGATGTGCGGGTGTCTCGGCGCTGACGAGGGTCTTCCGGTCCAAACTCCTCCTCTCACCCGTTGCTGAGCCTGTGCTGCTGTCCCAGCGGGAACCCTCGGAGTCTGGCCCCACCCTGGTTCATGGAGACGGCATCCCTGGTTCACGGAGACATGACTAAGCAATGTGTTTATTTTCCCCTTTTTATTACTCAGGTGTAATATCTGGCCGAGCTTTAGAACAGCCTGAGATACCCGGAGTCACTTTTCTGAACTGATGAGCCTCCTGCCACGTGGGTTAGCTTGCACACCCCACTTCTGGGTGGGAAAATAATTTCCTTGGGTTTTTGAAATGTTAATACTTGCCAGAAGGCCCCTCTTAGGACTTCTAAAGATAAGATTAGAAACTACTCGGAACGCCGAGGCCCCGAAACTGCATCACGCGTCGTGCTGAGGAGAGCTGCCCGCTCAGTTCTCTCCCTTGTCACCGCTTGCTCTTCTAGCCGGACTTCAACTGTTCCTTCAACTTGATCACATAAGAATCTGTCAGTTTCTGCCTCTCTCTAGATCGTTCATAGAGTCATTGGGGTTGGAGTTTCATTTACTTCTGTCTTGTATCTTCTCTGTCCTAACTGCAAACACCTGTTGAGCACCTGCGGCGTTCCGAGCCCTTCAGGGGCTGCTGGGTGAGGCAGGGTGTAACGTAGATGTGCCTCTACCCTGTGGCTTGTATTGTGGGATTTCAGGAGAATGTGTCTTAGAAGAGGAAGAAGAAGACAGCTGAAGAGGCGGTATTTGAGGCTGGGGTCCTAGTGCAGAGGAAGCCGGGGGTACCAAGGGGCCTCCTGTCAGTGCCACCTGACCTCCAGTGCCTCCTGACCTCCAGTGCCTCCTGACCTCCAGTGCCTCCTGACCTCCTGTGCCTCCTGACCTCCAGTGCCTCCTGACCTCCAGTGCACATGCAGCCACCTGGGGGCTTGCTGACCCACAGATTCTGACCTGGATGTGCCTGCAGGTGGGGCTTCTGATGCGTGCACAGGTGCCATGTTGAACGGGAAGTTTCTTCCTCTCACCTGTGCCCCTGTGGCCTTTCCTGGAGCCGTTTCCCACGGTGGTGTCTCAACACCTTGCTCCCAGGGCCCTCCTGGCTGGAATGTGCGGTAACACAAGATAATAAGGTCAGGTAAGTTTCACCCTGGTAATGACCTCAGAGATAACAGTCTTGCCTGTTCTCTATAGATGTGGAAACTAAAGCTAGAGAGATTGCTACCCACTTGGCGCATGGCAAGTTAGCAGCAAATCAGGCCTCAGCTCCGTGTGTCCCTTGAGGGTTGGGAAGACCCTGAATCAGAGCTGGTTAACACTGCTCACAGGAGTAACCCCCGAGCCCGTGGCCTCCTCAGGCTGCAGCCAGCATGGACGGCACGGTGTTTCCATTGCTCCTCGGCTGTGATACTTGGAAGAGGAAGGGTGTGAGATGCGCGTGGACGGCACAGCGTTTCCATTGCTCCTCGGCTGTGATATTCGGAAGAGGAAGGGTGTAAGATGCGTGTGGACGGCACGGTGTTTCCATCGCTCCTCAGCTGTGATATTCGGGTGTGAGATGCACGTGGACGGCACGGTGTTTCCATCGCTCCTCGGCTGTGATACTTGGAAGAGGAAGGGTGTGAGATGCGCATGGACGGCACAGTGTTTCCATTGCTGCTCAGCTGTGATATTCGGGTGTGAGATGCACGTGGACGGCACGGTGTTTCCATTGCTCCTCGGCTGTGATATTCGGAAGAGGAAGGGTGTGAGATGTGCGTGGACGGCACGGTGTTTCCATCACTCCTCAGCTGTGATATTCGGGTGTGAGATGCGCGTGGATGGCACGGTGTTTCCATTGCTCCTCGGCTGTGATATTCAGAAGAGGAAGGGTGTAAGATGCACGTGGACGGCACGGTGTTTCCATTGCTCCTCAGCTGTCATATTCGGGTGTGAAATGTGTGTGGACGGCACAGTGTTTCCATTGCTCCTTGGCTGTGATACTCGGAAGAGGAAGGGTGTAAGTGCGTGTGGACCGCACGGTGTTTCCATTGCTCCTCGGCTGTGATATTTGGGTGTGAGATGCGCTCTGTGATAACCATCACGATTGCCAAGCATAGGAAGTAGAGAAAAGAAATTCAGAAGCAGCCGTTGTGGGACCGACCCTTCCCTTCTTTGTGGAAGGAGAGAGGGCACCGAGCAGAGTAGAGACTTATCGAGTCTCCGCGGCCCAGAGCTGTTTGGTGGCATCTGCCGGCCTCCTGTCATGTGGCCTCTCGGTGTTCAGATGAAGTGAGCCTGGGGCCTCGTGGGGTTGGAAGGCACCGTGGTTCCCCTCCGGGGTCTGGAAGCTCCATGGTGGACAAACAGGCCAACAGGTCACAGCTGTGGGAGACTGGGGCGTATCTGCCCATTTTCCTGATTCTCAAAAAGAAAAGTTGTAATTTTGCAAGAAGTGTTGTTTTTCACCAAGAACTAGCTGGGGAGGGAAAAGCTCACATGCTCCAAAGCGCCCAAGGTACACTGGGGCTGGCGGGCTTGGCGGGCGTGCCCCCCAGAGCTGCCTGTGTACATTGGGGCTGGCAGGCTCCTTGGGTGGGCCCCCCGGAACCGCCTGTGCCCAGCTGCTCCACGACGCCTGTGTTTAGCCACACAGCCCCTGCATCCCTTCCTTCTAGGACCCCCCACCCCAACTTTCACTTTCCATAGAAGGCCTGGAATCAGGGAACTGATGCTTATTTTGACTAGGACCATGCAGTGAGGAGAAAACGATATGAATGAGCACTTCAAGTGGGGTAGGAGGAGTTCCAGGTTAATTTCTTTGGTTGATGCATCATATTTATGTTTATATAAATAGGTAGCTTTTATTATTTTAGGATTGAAACGTGCTTTCTTCTCCCTTCCCGTCTCATTTAACCCAGTGCCGAGTGCACCCTGAGGCACCTGATAGAGCCGCTTTGGTTGCCGAGCCACAGTGCCTGGGTTCACTTCCTGGCTCCAACGTTCACTGGCCATGTGACCTTGCCGAGTCACTTAACCTGTGTGTGCCTCGGTGTTTTCATCTAAAAGTAGGGGAAATGGTCATCTTGAGCTCAAGTTGTTCTGAGGATTAGGTTTTATTTACACTCTGGGGAGAGAGTGGGTGTGCGTGTATTGTGTGTGTGCAGCCCTGTGGCAGTGCCTGGCACAGAGGAAGCCTTGTGTGAGCACTCACCGTGTTCAGCTGATGACGTAGGATATGTGACCCAGCGTTGCCTCACAAAAGCTCAGCTCTGCCTCCTTTCCTGGGTGCAGAAATGCATGATGTCTGTGTGGTGTGGTCATTGCCTGTTGTCACTAAAAAGCGTGTGAATCACTGTGTTCTCTTTAAGGTGTGGAAGATTTCCTTACAAGGGCCGTGTTACATGACACTGTTGATGATTGCGTTTGGCTTGCTATGGGGGCATCTCCTGCGGATCAAACCCACGCAGAGCGTCTTCATTTCCACCTGTCTGTCCTTGTCGAGCACACCCCTCGTGTCCAGGTTCCTCGTGGGCAGCGCTCGAGCTGACAGAGAAGGTAGGTGACGGTGTGCTCCAAGTGTGTGTCGGACTCATGCTCATGTGTAGGTAACTTTTGGATTCACAGTTGAGGGCCTGTGAGGAAAAATTGCAAGTCTTACTTCCCCTTTGAGGACTTTCCGAACAACTGTGGATGTCAGGGCTTACATTCCGAAAGGAACTGATGTCCCTGTGAACTCAGGTCCTCCCAACCTCCACTTCTCCACTTGATTAAGAAAAATTGAGGGCCAGAGAGAACTTGGACCAAGATTTTGAAAAGCCAGTCAGCACTGGAAAATGACCTGTGGAATTGGTGGGTTTTAGGAAGTTGCATGTGTTTTGCTGCTTTAATTCTAGCAGGCACTGGGGATGGACCCACTTTCGATACTTTCTTCCTGTGAAATCAAAGGTGCTTCGGTAGCTGAAGGTGTTCCCAACTCTTTTGCTTTGGCCTTAGTTTCATCGTATGTATGAAACATTGGCGCCTCTAAGTCGTGACTGTTTAGTGGAAGCTGACTTGCTCAGAAGTCTTGGCAGGACCGTGTCCCTTTGCAGGGAGGCTTGGCAGCTTGCTGTTTCTGGCAGCCTGCTTACCCACTGGGTAAGCTGTCACTGTTTTGCTCTTATTTTGTAAAAGTCAGTAAAAGACAGGGTTGAAATGCCACAGTCACTTCACTATGACGTTCACCCTGCCCAGAACACACAGGCATAGAAGAGAAAATACAAAAAGAGAAAACCACAGAGGTGTGTCTGACCTCTCCTGTAAACCGACAGGCTCTGTGCCGGCAGCTGAGAGGCTGAGCAGAGCTGGCCATGGGCCGCCGAGCCGGGTGCTGGAGCATGTGGAACCCACGCGTGCCCTCACTGTGGGTCCGGCAGTTGGGAAGCATCCCTCTGTGAAGGAAGCAGGGAAAGCTTTTTAAAAATCTGCGGCCTTCTGCTGGGCCTGAGGCATCAGAAGAACACGGATGCAGCCTCCCTGCTAGACGCTGGACAGGCGGCCCCAGCCGTGGGCCTCCTCCGTGCCGGTCCCAGCATCCCTGTGGGCCGGTCCTAGGGTCAGCCCCATCGTGAGACTGGACAGAGGTGGAGGGTCGGGGACCGAGTGAAATGAAAAAAGACCAAATGGGGACCAGGAACGATGCATGAAAACTGCTGGTTTAGTGGCCTGCACATGGGAACACCCACACCTGCGAAGAAATCTGTGGCTGGAAAAGAGCTGACAGACTCAGCAGTCACCGTGTGAACTGCCCTTGTGGACAGAAAAGCTTAATAAAGACTTCAAAATAAGTGGGCAGTATACACTCACAGTCCCAGGGGCCAGGACTGGAGAGGGAGAGGGGTGGAGTGTAGATGGAGAGGGTCAGTATATACAGACTCGGTGCCCTAGAGGCTGGAATGTACATGGAGAGGGGTGGAGGGTAGATGGAGAGGGTCAGTATATATAGACGCGGTGCCCCAGGGGCTGGGACTGGAAAGAGGACCTGGTGGGTTTTCAGAACTCAAGACAGGAGCCTACCTCCAGCACTGATGGGATAAAGGGAAGTGAGTCCACCCGGCACGTCATGTGCTGCAGCAGAGCGTGAAGTAGAAGGGAACGTCTGAACACCTGGCAGAAAAGACAGGTGGTCTAAAAAGGAACATCAAGTAAATGGGCTGATAGGACATGTCTCCTCGGCAACGTCAGATGGTGGGAGGTAGCGGGTAGGTAACCCACCCTGGGGAGACAAAGTCATGCCTGCCCAGCGAAATTACCATCCAAGAATAGGGCGTGAAATGCAGGCATTTCTGATGTGCAGAGACCCCAGAGCACCACCCACCCCGCCGTCCCCACAGGGCCCGGACACAGGCCCTGCAGAGGCAGAGCTGGACGTGGAAACAGCAGGGAGACAGAGGGGTCTAGAGGCTGATAAATTCAGTCAGTTATGACTGTTAGAAAAGGAGGTGTTTGAGTGCATTTTTTTTAAAGACCAGGCTAAAACTCTAGATAGTAAGAAGATAGGAGGGTTGCATGTTTGGGAGGTAGTTAGACTCAAGGACTTGGACACCGAAAGGAAATTGACAATTAGACTTGTTAAATGTGTCATATACCCACAGCACAGTTACAACATGTCATTTGAAAAAAAGCTTCGGGAATAAACTTCTCAAAAGAGAGCTGTGACCTTTGAGGATAGAGTCACAAATGGAGCGAATTCGTGTTCATGGAGTTCGTAAAAAGTCTCCATTCATAAAGATGTCATTTCTCCCCAAATTTATAAACTCATAGCTGTTCCAGTAAAAACATCTGGCAGGGTTTTTCATGAAACCGAAGAAACTGATCCTAAAATTCAGTGGGGACCAAAAGACCAAGTAGCCAACATTAATTTGAGGTGAGGAGTTCCCCACCAGCTCTCACGACTGATGATGTCACAGCGGATAGCAGCACCGCAGGCTGAGATGGAGCCGGCGAGTGGGGCCCACAGACCAGACACTGCAGAGAAGCCAAGGAGATTGACTCACCAGGAGTGGGAATTAGCTATCCAAACGGAAGAAAATAAAATTAGCTTGACTTTAGAACTACGAGAAGGAAATAGAAAATATCCTTATAACCTCAGGGTAGAATTCCTTAAAATATAAAATGCAGAATTCAAAAGAGAAAATACCGATGCATATGACACATTTGACTTTATAACTTTCTTTTTCATGCTGACCTCCCTGTGGGGAAAACTGTAACTTTTATTGAAAGGCTTTTTTTTTTTAATAAGCCACAGGCCAGAGGAAGATATTTCCTGTAGTTATTTATTTCTTGTTTGTTTAGAGCAAAGGATTAGTATTCAGAATGAATCAAGAAGGTCTGTAAATCCAAACCAAAAAGTAACCTAATGGGAAAATAGGCAGAATATCTGAGCAAGTAACTTAATGGGAGAAGAAACCTAAATGATGAATAAACATGAAGATAGGAGCCTCGCTAGTATTTGGAGATGCAGGCTGATGGGACTGAGATCGATGCCATCCACATGAGCTTGCTGCCAAGCTTTGTTTTAAACCAAGCCTTGCTGTCACCCAAGCTGGAGTGCAGTGGCTCGATCTTGGCTCACTGCAGCCCTGACCTCCTGGGGTCAAGCGATCCTCCCACTCAACATCCTGAGTAGCTGGGATGACAGGCGTGTGCCACCATGCCTGGCTAAGTTTTTATTTTTTTGTAGAGATGGGGGTCTTGCTGGGTTACCCAGGCTGGTTTCGAACCCTGGCCTCAAGCAATCCTCCTGCCTCAGCCTCCCAAAGCACTGGGATTGCAGGCATGAGCCACCACACCTGGCCCTAGCAAACATTTTTTAACCTGATGTACCATTGGCAAGAGTGTGGAGTGCCAAGATTAAGCATTCTCCGTGGGAATGTAAATTGGTTCAGCCACTTTGGAGGAAACTTTTGCAATCAGAAAATTCCATTTCTACATACATATCCTAGAAAATTCATGAAAATTATTATAATTCAAAACAGTATTATTTTTAATAGCAAAAAGTTGATCAACCGAATATTCAGTAACATGGTAACATGCTGGACAGCTAAGGTGTATTCATACCTTGGAATGCTGCAGAAGCAAATGCGAATGACTTTTATAGCATGGAGGGAAAGATACAAGATGTGGAATACAACATGCTTGTGTGTGTCAAGTCTGAACTTTACATACATGCAAACTTCTACACTAAAAGCAAGAAAAAGTGTTTGAGAATGACAAATGAGGCCGAGCGGCTGTGCCAGAGACGGGGAAGGTGTGCCATCAGAGAGGGACACAGGGCAGTCAGCTGCTTGTGACATTCTTTCAGAAGCTGAGTGATGGCTCTGGTTGTTCATGACATGCTTTGTACGTTTTTTCTTGATTCAAAGTATTTTATAATAATTGTTTTTAAAAACAAGGTAACTGGCTGGGCGTGGTGGCTCACGCCGGTAATCCCAGCACTTTGGGAGGTCGAGGTGGGCGGATCACAAGGTCAAGAGATCGAGACTAGCCTGGCCAATATGGTGAAACCCCATCTCTACTAAAAATACAATAATTAACTGCACGTGGTGGCGGGTGCCTGTAATCCTGGCTACTCGGGAGGCTGAGGCAGGAGAATCGCTTGAACTCAGGAGGCGGAGGTTGCAGTGAGCTGAGATCACGCTACTGCACTCCAGTCTGGCAACAGAGCGAGACTCCATCTCAAAAAAAAAAAAAAAAAAAAATACGTGACCACTAAAAAGTGGAAATGCAGTCTATACCTTCCAAATGCTGCTGTTTTATTACTATAGTTTTTAGTAAGTTTTGAGACCAGGAAGTGTGAATCCTCCAACTTTGTTCAAGATTATTTTGGCTGTTTGGGGTCGCCTGAGATTCTGTATAAATTTTAGGATAGTGTTTTCTGTTTCTTCAGAAAACATCGTTGGGATTCTGATAGGAATTGCATTGGATTTGCAGTCGTAATTTTGGTAGTATTGACATCTAAACAATATTAAGTCTTCCAGTCCATGAATACAAGATATTTTTCTATTTAAGCGTGTCTTTCATTTCTTTTAGCCATGCGTTTGTTTTCAGTGTATACGTGTTTTGCCTCCTTGGTTCACTCTGTCCTAAGTATTTTATTCTTTTTGATATGTTGTAGATGGAATTGTTTTCTTAATCTCCTTTTCAGATTGTTCATTATTAGTATATAGAAATGCAGCTGACTTTTGTGTGTTTATTTTGTGCCCCGCACCTTTGTGAATTGGTTTATCCTAATAGATTTTTGTGTGTGAAATCTTTTGGATTTTCTACATATGAGATAATCTCCTCTGCTTACAGGATCATTAAATTCATTCTTTCCAATTTGTACACCAGCCTTGTCTCTTAGAGATGGACACTGAAATGTATGGTTAAGAGGATGACTGGGGTTTCCCTCAGGAGGGTAGAATGGAGGTTAGTGTATGAAACAGGGGTCGTCTGCCTGATCATGGAAACTGGATTATCTGTTCCTTGAGATGCACTGTATTTTTCTTTTTTTTTTTTTTTTTTTTTTTTTGAGA